CTCCAGCGATCCTTCCACCTCAGCCTTCCGAGTAGCCGGAATTACAGGTGCACGCTACCATACCCGGCTAATTTTTTTTTGATTTTATTGTAGAGATGAGGTCTCGCCTGCCCAGGCAACTCTCGAACCCATGGGCTCAGGCAATCCACTCACCTTAGCCTCCCAAAGGCGCGGGATTACAGGCTGAGCCACTGAGCCCGGCTATCTATGCTGTTAGTAAACCAGTGCTGAATTACCGTTACTTTTCTTTTCTTTTTTTTTGAGTCAAAGTCTCATTCTGTCGCCCAGGTTGGAGTACAGTGGCACGCTGTTGGCCACTGCAGCTTTGACCTGCTGGGCTCAGGTGATCCTTCTGCCTCAGCTTCCAAGTAGCTGGAACTACAGGCTTGTGCCACTACGCCCAGTTCTGTTACATTTCTAATAGTTCATTATCTTTCTTTATTCATCTTGTTTTTTGTGGTGTTTGGCCTGTTTTATTTTACATTTGAATTTATTTATTTAGTTTTTGAGTTGGAGTCTCACTGTCGCCCAGGGTGGACTGCAGTGGCACGCTCATGGCCACCGCAGCCTCAACCTCAGGCAATCCTTCCACCTCAGCCCTTCAAATAGCTGTGACTGCAGGTGTGCGCCACCACGCCCAGCTAACTTTTTGATTTATTGAAGAGATGAGGTCTCACCAAGTTGCCTAGGCTGGTCTCAAACTCAGGTAATCCTTTCATCTTGACCGTCCAAAGTGCTGAGATATAGGTGTGAGCCACCAGGCTCAGCCTTGTATTAGAATTAAAAAAAAAACTTTAATATCATATCTTCTGCTTAATTTCTATCTCTTAGAACCTTTTTCTAGGTAGAACATGGAGATTAGTTTCTTAGGTTAACCTTTTTAAAACGTACATCTTCATGTCATGATAGTTTAAACCTTTATGAAATGTAGTTTTTACATGTTGTCCTCCATTGCCTGTTAACTCTGTTTTCCCCTCTGGGTAGCATTGCTAGTCTGTTTGGCCCAGTGTTTTCCTTTGCATTCAGGGCCCTGACTCTTACGTTGATCTCTATACTTGTCGAACTTTAGCCTCTCTGAGTCTGTCCCCACAATTAAGTTAGTTAAATTTTGTTGTGAAAGCCTTGTATGGATTCTTCTCAAGCCTTCCTCGTTCATCTCTACTATTCGAGGCACTTTGTAGCTTATATGTCTCTGTCTTTACTTAATAGTAGCTTGTGGCTCTTCAGTGGAACTCTGTATAATGGTTAATTTCTATCTTTTTTTATTTTTATTTTTTTTGAGCTGGAGTCCCACTCCGTTGCCCAGGGTGGAGTGCAGTGGCACACTCATGGCCACCCCAGTGTCAACCTGCTGGACTCTGGCAATCCTTCTGCCTCAGTCTTCCAAGTAGCCGGAACTGCAGGCATATGCTATCATGCCCGGCTAATTTTTTAAAAAATTTTATTTTATTGTAGAGACAAGGTCTTGCCAATTTGCCCAGGCTAGTCATAAACCCGCGGGCTCAGGCAATCCTCTCGCCTCAGCCTCCCAAAGTGCTGGGATTAGAGGCTGGGGCACCGAACCCGGCCAATTTTATCTTTTTTTTTTTTTAAGTGTAAAATAAAACACAGGCACAGAAAGCCATATAAAGCAAGCTGTATAGCTAACTATTAGAAGCGAGCACTGTAGCATCTGTATGCTCTGGCTATGACTAGGAGTCCCTGAACATTGCTGAGTCTTCTGCTGTGCTGGTCCTGCAGCTGCTTCCTTGTGGCACAGATTGGTGTGGCTGCTTTTTTTTTTTAAACTGCCAAATGGAGTGACAAGGCAGGCTTCAGCCTCTGTTTGACCATGTTTCATGAAGCACCTTTTCTTGAAAAAGAGAATGATAGCTATTTATTATGATATTTTAGAGACTTTTAGTACATTCTTTTTTCTTTTTTTTCCCTTAGTTGGGGTCTCACTCTGTTGCTCAGGCTGGAGTGCAGTGGTATGCTCACGGCCACCACAGCCTCAACCTGCTGTACTCAGGAGATCCTTCAGCTTCATCCTTCCAAGTAGCTGGAACTACAGGCATGTGCCATCATGCCCGGCTACAATAGAGACAGGTCTCATCAAGTTACCCAGGCTGGTCTTGAATCCATGGGCTCAGGCGATCCTCTCGCCTCTGCCTCCCAAAGTGCTGGGATTATAGACTTGAGCCACCACGCCCAGCTATAGTGTATTCTTTTTCTAAATCCACAAGCAAGTGTCTTAGGATCTTCCCACATTCCTTTTTTAGTTATTTTGTTTTTGTAATAGTTTAGTACCTGAGATCGTCCTTTGGGGACCTTGGTGGATTCTCTGTCATGGAGGATTCTTGCAGACTCCTGAAGGCCTCCCCTTTCATTGTGCGCCTTGTCTCATTGCTTTAGCATATTGTCCTTTGGTTTGGTCTTGGGTTCTTGTTTGCGTCTGACCTGCCTGCCTGCTTCTGGAGATGGCAAAGTCCTTGTCCTCTCCCAGCTTCTCTGCTTCTCTGGCTCAAGCCATTGCCCTTCTTAGGAGCTTCTGTGCTTCCTCAGACTTTGGTCTTTGGTCTGTGCTTCTCTCTCTATGCTGCCTCTGGGCACCGTCATCCCCTCCTGTGCTTCCCACCTTGGCGCCAGTGATCCAGACATCCGGTGACCACCTGGATGTAGCTGCTCAGCTGCCATGGGCGCCTCCGCCTCCCGTAGCCCTCGGGAGCCCACCGCCTCACTCTCTGCATCTCTTGCTCCTTGTCTCCATTCTCTGCTCTCTGCCCTCATCCCTCCTGCAGGCGAGTCTTGAATCCATTCCACCTCCCCCTCACTCTCCTCCCACCCCCAGCCCTGTCAGGCTCTCACCCTGTCCCTTTGAGCGGCGCCTGCCTTGGTGCACATCCTCTCCTGTATCCTCTTCGTGCCTCAGTTGTCTGGATGGGCTCTAGGCCTCTGCTGGTTCTTACCTCCTCGTTCCCCGGGAATGCAGCTGGGTGCCCTATCTTACCAGAGATACCCGAGATGCTGCCGGCCTCACAGCTACTGGAGCTCCTGCTGCGGGTTGGTGTTGCTCTTAGCTCTGTGGTCTGACGCGCCTGGAGGATCTTGGACATCCATCCCAGTCCCTGATGGGGAGCTCCTCGGGGCTTTTCTGCCTGGGCTGGCCTTGGGCCTGCTGAAGATGCTCAGGAAATTAAGCATC